GAGAGAGAGAGAGAGAGAGAGAGAGAGAGAGAGAGAGAGAGAGAGAGAGAGAGATGCATTTGTGCTGATAAATAAATGAAGGGAGACTAGTATAGATCTATTTCAAGCTATTTAGCTCTCATCAGCTATATATGTGTGTGTGTGTGTATGTGTGTGTGTTCAAATATATGTATGTATGTATGTATATTTGAAGACATTATTGCAATTGTTCAACTCAACGTCAAGAAGATAAAAGGATGTATCTGTGCATTAAGAACCAACTTTTGCCCAGCCCTACGTGCTGGGAATCACGCTGCCACTTTTCCCTAACTCCATCCTCAGCCAGCCCTAATGCAGCTCCTGGGATGATTACGTGGTGGACGTGCCGTCTAGCCAAAAACGAATGGATCGCCCTTAGGAATCCTAGCTGAAGCATCACTTCGCAGCCGGGGCCCACCTCTCCCCTGGAGGAGGAGTCAGGGAGTTAGGAGGTGGCATGCAAATACGGCTCACACTCACAAAACTCCAAAGGCATCCAAGGCCAGCTCTGTGTGTGTGTGTGTGTGTGTGTGTGTGTGTGTGTGTGCGCGCTCTTGGAAAAGAGAGAAGCCGCCACCCCATTGTGGGTTTTCCATGCTATTTGCATTAGAGATGCTGCACGCAGACCAAGGCAGCTATTTGCCTCCAAGATATTTGCAACTTTCCGTCCTCCCTTTTTTTTTAAAAAAAAATTAAAGCAGCAGATATGTGTTCCTGCAAAGGGGTGTAGAATTCGCTTAGCTGGCTACCCATTCAGAAAAAAAAAATCAAACCCAGAGAACTGAAATACACAAAGAAGCATCCTGGAAGGACGATTTGAACACAAAAGAAAGAATTTCCTTTGTGATGAAGCCCCAGGGCTAGGTCTCTGGGACAGCCCCAATTTGCAAAAAAAATATTGGTGGGATTGGCTCACTCTGAGAGAGTGGAGGCTGTAGATTTAACAAAACCTTCCCAGGGAAAAAGGACAATTTTGGGGGGGATTCGGACGAAAAAGAATACAGCTTTTCCACAAGGGATCCGGGATTTTTTAAAATAACTTCGCTTTTCAGGATGGTTCTGAATGTCTATAAATCTGATGAGAGACTCTGGTTAGAAAACTCATTCTTCTAAAATAAAGTCTCTATGCTCTTCAGCTCTTCCACTTTTCCTTCTGTGGTCAAGAGGTTTTTTTTTTTCCTGTGCCCAGAACCCACTTACAAAGAGAAAAATCTGAGTAGATCAAGGCAATTTTTGTGAAAAACTTGGGAGGAGGAGATGGAGGAGGGGGAACCAGAGAAAGAGGAGATGGAGGAGAGGAGGAGGAGAATAAGAGAAGGAGAATGAGAAGACGAAGGAGGAGGAGAATAAGATGATGGTGAAGAAGGGGATGGAGGAAGGAGAATGAGAAGATGAAAGAGGAGGAGGAGGAAGGAGAAGAGGAGGAGAATGAGAAGATGAAGAAGGAAGAGGAAAAGAAGAAGGAGGGAAGAGGAGAAGAAGAGGAGGAGAATGAGAAGATGATGAAGAAGAAGGGGGAGGAGGAGGGAGAAGAGAAGGAGAATGAGAAGATGGAGGAGGAGGAGGAGGGAGGAAGAGAAGAGGAGGAGAATGAGAAGATGAAGGAGGGGGAGGAGGGAAGAGAATAAGATGATGAAGAAGGGGAAGAGGAGAGAGGAGAAGAAGAGAAGAATGAGAAGATGAAGAAGGAGGAGAAGAGGAGGAGAATGAGAAGATGAAGAAGA